CATCTCCAACCATAGCCAAATGACTTGCTATATGTTATAATTTGACAAGCATATACAAAATTTCATGCTCCAAAGGGTTATTCAAAATTTGACTAGCTTGCTAAAAAATGAAAATACCTTGCTATTTATAACAAGCATGCTAGAATATAGCTAAACAAAAATTAAGGTAAGTTTCTTTTATAATGATATATACTGCACAAATTAAATACTCCGTATAACATTTTTTTTTGTTTTTTCAATGTGAATGTGATTTTTATCGTAGGAAGAGTTCTTTGGTTTATTTTTTTTTAAATAGAAATATTTTATTTTATATTTTTTAATTAGATACTATTAGAATATAAATAACTTTTTCTGGACATAACCACAAGTTTGAGCTTTTGGTTGAATCAGTTCTTTGACACATACTCCATATTTATTACTTTTTTTTAACAGGAATAAATACAATTCAAGAATTATTGTATTTGGTGTATTATAATGGTTATTGGAACAAAATATATTTGTTAGTTACTCCCTCCCTCCAAAAAAGAATTACCCATTTACTATTACGGCTTCTCGATAACTCTTATTTGTTTGTGTATTTTCATTGATTATTTTATTTAAAAAAATTTTGTCAGCTCTTGTTTTGTAAATTTTTTTATGTAGTTTTTTAAATATAATTTTTTTATTTTGTATTTTATTTAACAATTTATAAATAAAATCATTTTAAAATCATGGAGATTTGCACGTTGATAAAAAATGAGTAAAACATTATTGGAAGGAGGGAGTGTAATATAACAAGTCATGATTGGAAAAGGGAGCAAAAAGTGACTTGTTATACCACTATTCATTAGCTAAAGAAAAGCAATAGCAAGCCACATATACCAAGCCCCATGCTCTAACCCATTGTCTTAAAACACGGCCCGATTATTGAATTGGAAAATTTTATAAGACATCTCTAATTGTTCACACCAAATTTAAATTAAAAATAGAGTAAATGTCAAACTTATGTTCTCTTTGTTTCATAAAACTCTTTCTCTTTTGTTTTTTTTTTCAATTCCCTAAAGCACTTTCAGTTTCTATTAAAAAATCACTTTTACCCTTATTTTTTTATACCCTACTCATCACATCATATATTTTTTCACTAATAACCAAACTATTACCATATTTTACTTTTACCCATCACATCAGAGGCAAAATTGAAAAGTCAACCAAAATTACTCTTTTCTTATTTTTGCCCTAAATCAAAATGTGAAGGGTTTAAAGGAACAGAGAGTGTAGTAATTAAACTTTAATTGAATGTACCAAAATCTAAATAATATTTTCACACTATATCCTTTTTCTTAGAACATTGGCAATGACAAGTAAAAAAACGTGGAGTATTTTAACTAATCAATTAAAACCAGTCCAGTCAGCGTGCGACAAATGAGTGGAATGACATTTCTTTCAATGGTAAGTTATTGTTTTTTTCATTTTTACACTTTTTAAACATATTTTAATTATTAAAAATCATTTCAGTTAACTTTTTTCATAAAATAGTCAAATAGATGCACTCTTTTTTTTAAAAAACTTCTTTTTTATAAAAAAGAGTTTTAAAAAATTTAAAAAAATGCTTGCAACTATCATGACATGCATGGCAAAACATGTAAGTCACGCGAGGCAAATGCAACATTGGGGTGATGTGGTAGGGTCGCCTGGCCACTACTGGTGCTCTTACTACATTTTCTATTTTAGAAATTTAAAAATACAGTATATTGTACCAGTAAGCCAAAAAAGACAAATAATGTAAGCTAAAAAACATTAGAAAAAAATGTCACCAAGTAATAAAGATATGGAATAAGGGAAAATGAGATACCCCAAATTACAACCCATACTTGGATTTGAAATAATATAAAACTCATTTTGTAGTTGGAAATGAGATACAATTAAGAGCACTGGTAATGGTCATGAAGCCCCGGGGCTTCAAACTTTCTCTCTCTATCACGTCAGCTTTAACTTACACCCAAAATTCACTGGAAATGGTTTTGAAGCCCCGGGCTTCAAACTGGGGCTTCAAACCTTCATTTTTTACATTTTTAAATATACATCTAAATTTAAATTTATAAATTTAAATTAATTTATTATTTTAATGAATCGCAATGACACTATTGCATAAAAAAATTAAATTCAATATAAAAAAAAATCTTACATTCATAAAAAAAATTAAAAAAAAATTACATTCATTAAAAAAAATTACATAAAAAAAACAACAGTACAAAAAAATCACTAATTATTCGAACGACTAAAGATATGCTCGATCAAATCCGCCGTTAGTGCATTGTGAATCTCTCGGCTTCGAATTTCTTGGCGGTTGTGTCGTTTCTTTTCTTCGGTGATTTCTTCGTACATAGGCACCTCCTCGTCCGGGTTGTATTGACAAATCGCAGACCCGTTATCGGGAGGATTCGGCTTCTTCTTGGCCATCTTCCCACCATTGAATACAATTTGTCGCGAAACAACAAAAAAATAAAGCTCTTCTTTCATCGTCGGAAGATGAACCCATTTTTAAATTATATTTTATAAATATTTATAATAAATAATAAATATTTTTGAGAGAGTATATAGTAATAAAGAGAGATTTGTGAGAGAGAGGTGTGAGGAAGATGAATGAGAAGGGGGGATTTTATAGGTTTTTTTTTAATTTAGAATTTTTTTTTTTAAATTGGGGGGGGGGGGGGGGTA